GGTAAGCCGGCAGGAATCTATTTCCCCAGAACAGCAAGTGTGCATTGCTCTTCACAGCACACACAGAGGTCCAGCTCAGACACTTCACACCCACAGCGCCGGTGATGAACACGGCCTGGGCATGTGCTCAAGCTCAGCTGGGTTTGGTGCCACAGATGTACTTGCAGACTGAGGAATGGCTTCCTGCACAAGTCCTCCTACCTCTCGGCCCTTGTGTCAAACACAGCACTCCTCTCCTTCTGCTCCACTTCAAGTGCTTAAGCTCTGCAAAGGGGCGGGTGCAGAGAGAGTTTTTGCATGTTTTCTGCACTTTATTCCCAAATAGCTTCTTGCTAATTCTCTTTCCAGAGACATCTTGTTATCCCCAGGCTTGACTATGTGTATGGGCTGCTTGCCAAGTTCTGGGCTTTGTATCCATCCTAGGGCCAAAAACTTAAATCTCTGTCTAGATTTTAGGTGGATATTTACCGGATTTGATCTCTTCCTCTCTTTGTCATTGAGTCTTACCCAGTTATAAATGTAGGAAGCTTTCCCTTCTGAAGGTAAATGTAGCAGTAGTTTGCATAAGAGAAAAAGGAGTATCACATATAAAATAAGCTTAAAATTGGTCAAGATTTTTACTGGCTTAAAATTATTTGGAGGAGTAGAAGGAAAACAGAAGTGCCAGCAGCACCGAGAGAAACATTAAAATTGGTGCTAATGCGTAAAAGGGAAATAAAAATAGTTTAACACACCTTGTTCAAGCTGTTGGTTCACTTGAGTAAAGATTTGGGACTTACTTAGAAAAAAGTCCTTTCTAACAGAGTTCACAGAACGAAGTCTTCACAAAAGCTGGCACAATCATTTCCAGTGGAGCTCTAGTCTGTGATCTCTCATTGGTATCGCTCAGAGCTTGACATGGGAAACGTGTTAATCATTTTAAAAAAATACAGCTTTATGACACTTACTTCCCCTTCTTTCTTGAAGAGCCTGGAGTGGGGGTAGGTGGAACATCTGCACGTGTTTGTTGCCTCATTCTTTGGGCATTTACAAGGACTTGTCTCAGAAAAGACAGTAAAGCAGAGTATCAGCCACTTAAGAGTGCAGATGAACACATGCTGAGACGAACCTTCTCCATCCATGTTCTCAGTTCCTCCCCACAGACTCATCTTGGGGACTCACAAACTTGTTCTTGAGTCATTATTTCAGGACTTGATAAGCAGCCAGATCTTGTTAGTCATCAGCAACTGAAGCTGTCTAAAGAACAGTGAGAGACTTGGGTACAGAAAGAGGATGTGATTGTGAAATGTTTGGGGTGGGGAGGTGTTAGAGCTACTTGTAGAGAGAAAAGGGGACATGTTGCAAATACTCTTGATTTTGTCAGAGAATGGGTGACATTGTCTTGTGGGTGTTGAATATTCCTTGTTTTTTTAATTAAAAACGTTCTTCTATTCATTTGTTTGGGTTGGCTGTTCCTGATTTTTCAACTTCATCTGCCATTTAATTAGCTTTAGAAGATAAATGAGTTCATAATACGGAAATACAAAAAAGAAAATCTGTCAGTTCTATTTTAAAATGTGACTTGTTCTTTGTAGGTCACTTTATAAGGCTTTTCCTCATTTTTATCTTTGATGGATAGGAAGTGTACATTTTGCATTGAAAGATAACTTGACCATCTTGCAAAGTTTTCCACATTAACCTGAACGAAGGCTTCTTTGTAAGTCTCCTGCTGTTTTCAAGAAACTGGAAGAACACTGCTACAGACTTAAGTGCTCTATAAAAAAGTATCAGTGCTAAAAAAATTTTGAGCTTCAACATTTATTGTGCTGCTACTAAAAGACGTTTCAGCTATTTGTGTGTAAGGATAAACACTCCTGAGCCAGGACCTGCAGACAGTCCAAGATGTAATTGGTAGTTACGGGCTCTCTTTTCTTTTGATACCAATGTTACTGCTCTCCTGCAGTAACATTTAATGTTACTACCCTTTAATGTATCTGGTAATCCTCATGTTGTCTTCCTTACAAGCATATGTCAGTTCTTAATATGCTCTACATCTTAGTGACAGCCACTGTTTCTTATTCTCTCACCTCCCCTCTGAAATATGTCTTTGTGCATTAGGATATTACAGGGAGGCCTTTATACAAAGAACGTTTATCTTGATGTGATACCTTCAGTATTTAAAGTTAGTCCACTCAGTAAAGTATTATTTTCAGTAAAGAAAAAATATTCAGTAAAGAAAATCCCACGCTTATTTTTTTTTAAGGAAATAGACTGGTATATGGTATGTCTAAAGCTACTCTTAAACTAGTACAGCTCAGGAATGATGATTTAGTTGTATTATAAACATTCCTGTCAAATGCTTATATACTGCCCATTTAATCTGCAGAACTGCTAATGTCAGTTTTGCATTGCAGGTTCAGGGATTTTAATATCCTTTAGTGCTTAAATGTAAAATGTGAAAGCATATGTAGCCTGTATGATTGTAAATATTATGAAAATGGATTATATGAACATTGTAATTAAATTGTCATGACATGGGAGGAAAGCTAGGATACAGAAGAGAAAGCAAAGTATGAGTCATCAGTAAACTTCTAAATGTCTCTGCCATGAAGACTACCTCTGAGTAACACGGAAATGTCACAACAACAAGGGGTGCTACATGTTTGTTCCCTAACAAGTTTGTATGTCTACAGTTTCAGGACCAAAGGTGTGCAAAGAAAGCAGATCAATGGTTATTGCCAAAGTGTATGGCAAAAAAAATATCTTTGTTTGACTATAACCCTTTTGGACATGCTGAACAAAAACCTCTTCCCTTTAAAAATAATTCTTCTGCAGAGTAGCTGCGTTGAGTTGTGGCCTTTGTGTGTTAAGCACCAGGTTTTTCTGTTTCTGGAGTGTCTGAAGAAAGTGCCTGCACATGTTCTGATAAGTGGTGCAGTGACCTTCTCGGGCAACTGACTTTAGTTATCTCCCTGATTTGCAGAGAATTCAGTGTGTAGTACGCACTACAAATTCTATGTGCCTTAAAACAAAATACGTTATAGTTAGTTGTTATTTTCCTGTTATAAAAAAAATATCTGTCATGAGCTTTGCAGTGGCAGAGCCTGGGTACATAAAATACCAGAGCAATGGAAAGCGTAAGTGGATTTAACAATCAAAGGTATTGTGAAGGGTTTTACAGGTTGAACTGTGCAATACAGATGGAACAGACCTCCTGTGTTCTCTGTTGTACATGTGGGGGAAGAGGTGTTGCTTCGAGGTGTGCCGACACTAAACATCATCTGTGCTCTAGGAATACCTGAGCTAATGATACACCTGGAAGTAGCCACGTCAAAAATTACCACACTGGATCATCTGCTCAACATGATGAAATGGCAGGTCCTAACTTTCACTACCAGTTGGCTGCAGCCAACAGAGCCAGCCAGCTGAAATTTAAAATGCTTGGGTTTTGCCATACTATAGTTGCAGGGTTTTCCTCCTATAGCTGTACCTGTAGTAACAAGTGGCAGAAGAGGTTCTGACCTTAGCATGATAGGCAGCTAGGTGGAAAACAACTCGTAAACAGTACCTAACCTTCTCCCTTTGTGCTTAGTTTCCAGAAATGAATGCTATGATAATGAGACGATTCAGTAAGCCAGGAGATGTTGAACGTGCTCGGCAATACGTATTGGAGGTAGGACCGATACCAAATTTCATTCCCAAATGCTGTCCCTGCTGAAGTCCAAGTGAAATTCTTTGCCTCTGAAGTAAACTAAAATGGCAGGTCTGCATGTTAGTATGCTATGTACCGTACACAGTAGTCTGCAGGTGTTTTACTGGCACTGCTAGGTACTGGAGAATTTTTTTTTTTCCCTTTTCCAGTAGTATAAAATCCACATCATAAAAAGCTACTGCATGAGCTCAGTTCCCTCAGATGAAGAGTAGCTGTCGCCAGCAGCAATTACCAGTCAGTCTTATAACTGCAGTGCATGCTCCATATTGGTTTTAATTGGCTCCGGTCTGAAAAGGCTGAGTAACTATGCAAAATTAATACCTATTTTTTCAGGATAGCATGGGGTCTCTTGTCCATCTCTAGGGCAGCAGTGGAAGGAGTTAAACCATTAGTTTCTAATCCTACTGAATAGCATGTTATTAATACCAGTATTGTTTGTTTTGTAAGTATACTGAAGCATAGCACGGATGTGTTTTCGTATTTTGACACTTTGGGGAGGAGATGTAGGATTCAGCTTCCCCCTGTAACTGGGCGAGGCAAAAGGCAGGACCGGTTACCCGTTGCCTTTCCCTGTCCCCTCCCCTCAGAGCGACGGTGTGCAGCAGACGACCTACCTCGCCCAGCGCTACTGCCACGCAGCCACCAGGGAGATCCGCAAGCTGCGGCCGTCCCCCGAGCGCCAGGCCCTCATCCAGCTGACGGAGATGGTGCTCCTGCGGGACAAGTGAGACGGCTCCTCCCACTCCTTCTGGCAGCTACTTACCAGACTGTGCCTACAAATACTTCTACAGTTACTTGCTTCCAACACTGGCTACCAAAAACTATTTTTTTAAAGATTTTTTTTTTTTTTGAAGTTTCACTTTTTTTAAAAAAACCTTAAGAATTTAGAAGTGTTTTATTGTTGGAAGCCATACAACTCGGAGCAAATCAAACTGTGCTGTATGACTGTTTTAGTGGGGGCTACCGATTGTGGGGGTGGGGTGGGGAAGATGTTTACATGTCGATGCACAAAGGCCACAATGAGAATAAATATAAATCAGTGTATGAGAACTGAAGTTGTTCCAAATTTCACCCAGTAATGTGGTTTCTAACTGTGTTTATTAGTGTGAATGGTAGGCTCCTGGGAAGAGAGATGGCTTGAGTGATTTCTAGGCTGTTAAGCTATAGAAGTAACTGGAATTATATATATGGAAATTGGATCATTATAAAAGACTGTATGTATAGACCTTAATTGATAATACATACATCAATGAGAAATTTTCCAATTCATAATGAAATACAGGTATGCTCTTGGTTGCTACTTGCTAGTAATTAAGGGTGTACAGAATTTGAGATTGCTACAGTTAAGATAGGAAGGGCTCAGTATTTCTAACTCACACTAAAGATTCAACAGCCATTCAAAGCTTCCAACTCCATCACTCATTTACTGAGTGTATTCAGTACCCTCCTAGAAGTCTGCTTTGAAGTCCCAGACACATTCCTCTGACAGTAATTATCCAGTACTTCCACATTCCTTTTCAGGTTATGTAAGCCACAGAATCTGTAGAGCAGGGAAGTACATCCCTTCTAACTATCTCTGTCCCTGATCCCTTAACACAAGGGCAAGTTCCTGTTGTGTTTGCTTGCTTCCCCTCTGTCACACCCTGAGGACAGCCCACTGGCTCTGCTCAGCTGCCCACAGCACCACTCCAGCTGTATTTTCCACTGAAAAATGTCAGGTACAGATGGTGTTCAACCTAACTGCTTCTAGATCTGATTGAGAATCCTTACTAAAATGGATTTTGGGAGGAAAGAATTTTTAGGAGTATGTATAAATGTGTAATTCAGGTTTCATATCTAATTTATTTGCCCTCTGTCAGTGATAAAGTCACATTTACAAACATTTGCTTTTTAGTACATTGCCTGGGATAACAGCCATGATTTTGCTACGCTAGCATTCCAAACTTCTTTGCCAAGCCAACCAACAAAGTAATGGACAAGACCTTTGGTTCACTTATATATTTATGAATGGAAAAAGTTATAATGAAAATTTACTCATTAAAAAAACTTGGGTACAAATTACACATACATAAGACCACCCATTTTTGATTCACATGGACACCTTAGACCCAAACAACTCATTGTAATAGACTTTTGTGAGAATACTCCAGGTAAAGATTACAACGATTGGAAGCATCTTGGATTTTTAAAAAAGTATATTTCAATACATAAGTTTGTATGCATGCTTTAAACAAATATAGTTCAAGAATGAGCAAAGAGTCTAAACAAAAAGTAACATGACCAGCACTAACATTAAACTTCTCATCCAGATTTTAATATGTTAGTCTAACGTAGTGTTAGTTACCATGCTGTACTGAAAAATGTAATGGCACAATCTGATCATGGTTCATTAAATATTATACCCTACTTCCCCAGAATATTTAGGCTGGTCATAAAATTAACAATGCATAAGTAAATAAGTATAACCAGTTATAGACAGTTGCTTGTTTTACAAATTGCCATCAGGTAAGACACACTGTCTCCAGAGACTCGGGGAGATGGACATTCAATCATACCATTAAAACAGTGTGGCCTGAAGAAATGGGCACGTTTGTTTTCGAAGTATATTAAGACAATTCTGTTAGCTTTTAGTTACCCCTTGTAAATAATCATGGTATGACTGAACGAGACCCAGCTTCAAAAAGCAAAAGATGTTAATCGGCATAGTGCATGATTGACTCAACATAATTCCCAGGAAACAAGCCAGTCACTCGATTGCAGACTCCTTCATACCAGCCATCATCGTTCTTCTTTATCACGTAAATGATGGCACCCTCCATGAACGACAGCTCATCGTCCTTGTCCTTTGTGTAGTCATAGATAGCAACAACTGTGGATTGAACAGGGACACGTTTAGCACGTTATTAATAGCACCATGAATAGCATCTCTTGAAGTACAATTGTTTTTTAAAAGCCTAGTTTGCCATCCTGGGATTTTCCATAAAAAACTCACATGTTTTCCCTGTTGCACATCCAGTCCAGAAGATGAACCCTCACTTTTCTTGCAGCATGAGCTACCAGTAAGAAGTGGGTGGTGACTACACTGAACATTCTGTTAACTACTGTCAGGGACGTATAGTTACCTGCAACACAGTAAAGCTGAGCACAGGGATGCTTAGAAGCTGAACTGTCCCATATCTGTCTCCGTGAGCGTGGCAGTCATTTCTGGTCAGATCACCTCAAAAGCACAGAAGTTCCTGCACAGGGATCTCTTGTGAAGAGAAAGCCTAGAAACGTCTTTTTTTCCTTTCCTTTTTTTTTTTTTCCATCATTCTGTAGAAATGGACCAGCAGTAGCAAAATGCTACACTACGGCCCCTGCAGCTATTTAGAACGTACTTCAGTGTGTGATCTTATAAACAGCAGCTGCTTAAAGCCACCGTACAGAAACGGATGGTCATTGCTGCAGAGCTTCTTTGTGGTAGGAAGTTTCAGCATTACGTTCCAAGGAGTGCAATGACTGCAAGTACAGAAGTTACTGTAGGAAAATGTAGAAATGAATTTACAGCAACATCAGCTATTTTCAGCACTGTCTTGGTGACTATTACTCTTTCCAACCTCCAACTCATTGTGTGCAATTAAAGCAGAGATCTCCCTAAGGGGAGTAAATGTCGCCACCAATAATACTGGAATTAAAAACTACCACTATGAACACAAAAAAAAACACCTTTGGACATCACAGCCTTCTGCTTCAAAACAGCTAACGTGGATTTATGCACTCATCAGTTTAATGACTTCTAAACCCATACTATTTTCCACACATACATTCTCAGAAACATCCTGTCTTAATGCCCAGCAGGTAACGATGTGGTGTAACCATGTTCTCATCCCACAGGCACGTCCTGCACACAGTCCAGCTAGAAAGTGGCAGATGGAACACGGCAGCTCTGCCAGGTTCTGACAGGTACCACAGGTACCCCACCCCCTTTCACATGCACTGCAGCACCAGCCTGATCGTGAGGGAACTGGCAACGCTGCTGTTGACAAAATGGTCCTTGTCAGAACACAGACAGCTCTACAGGCAGGAAATCAGTGTCTCAATTATTCATGGGAAGAGACATTCACTATATGACTTCATACCTAAGCCTGCTGATCTGGAGTCACTGGTGAGTCTCCAAGGAAGCCTCACTGCATTTTCTAGCTGAAAGTCTAATGATCCACTCCAGCTATTTAGTTTGATGGGATAAATGAGCTTGGACTTCCTTTGCAATTCTGTTTCTAGATGATTGCCCAGCAGTCCTGAGGTAGCTACAGACAATCCAACAGTTCAGCAAAGATGAAAGCCATCTGATTTACATCTGCTTCGTATAATAAGGGATTATTTTAAACTATTCTAGAATGCTTGAAGGTATTTTATAATCCTTCCAAAGGAGGATTACATTTTATCACATTAGGTGTAGCCACAGGCAAAGTAAGAAAAGAATGGTCTGAGTTCTGACTTATCAAGGACAACAATTGCTTTCATCAGACCCAAGCCAAGTCCCTCGCTCTCTTCAGACACCTTTACCCCTCTGACACTGCATTAACACAGAGTTGCAATCCTTCTCTTACCTTTCTCTATGTAGTTTTTAGGTGCCCAAGCAGGATCTCCATCTGCATAGGGATCGCTGTACTGCACAACAGCAGCCTCCTCATCCTCATAATCCACAGGGGGTGGGGGTGGAGGAGGAGGGGAGTCATCAAACATCGGCATCTCATCGGGAGGTGGTGGCGGGGGAGGAGTCGGGCTATCAGCAACTAGAAACGTTTGGAGATTATGTTTTTTTTTTTTCTTAAATCAAAACTGTGAAGATGCAAACAATCCTGAGGCTGTACACTGTAAATAAAAGGGGTGGAGGGACAACACACGTAGCATGCACTATAGTACCATGCACTGATTAGAAACAGAGGCTTTGTATTAACAGCTACAACATACAGCTACATTTGTTATTAGTGGTCAAATCTATGTATAAATGCTACTAGAGTCAAAGCACATGCTGCAGGGCAGAAGCTGAACACCAGCAGAGAGGAAAGCTTCCTGCTCTGACGCCCATGCGCCGAGGGGCTAGCTGCAGCAGTTAGCTATGGGAGGACTCCGAGCGGCACCCTCTGAGCCAGGCAGCAACAGGCCTCTGCACTGGGCCAGCAGCTTGATCATTTTTGAACAAATTTGTTGCCTACAACAATCACTTCATCTTATTTCTGAATGCTGCTTCCTTCGATTCCTTCTCTCTCAGAGCTAGCATTAAGGGGGCAAAAAAACATCTGGTGTGGATCATAAAAAAGGGAAGAGAGTAGTGTTTAAGATTTAACCAGGTAAGAGAAAGCCAAGTAATGCTTCTGCAGAAGAAAAAGCATACAGATCCTTATCTTGCAGACTGGCTTGTGCATGTGCACACATCCAGGATTCAGTTAATAAATGGAAGCCCACAACAGGCAGCTGCTGCTCTTGGGGGGGGAAAGTGCTCAAGGAATGAAGTGCATAATCCAAAATGTCGAATCCCTGCCCTGAGATTCTCCCATCAGCACAATTACAAGTTGCTTTGGGAAAAGGAAAAAAAGAGAACTGCTTTATAGCACAAGTCACTCAAACTCAATTCATCAAATTAGTTCTCAGTGATGTTCACTGCAGCTGGCAGCAAAGGAGAGAGGGCGAGCATGCTCAAATGCATGACATCAAGCCACTTATCCTAGTCCCTGGGAACTGTGGT